CTGGGACTCGAACCAGTGCCCATATGGAATGCTGGCACTGCAGGCGGCGGCTTTACCCGCTATGCCACAGCGCCGGCCCCAGTGTAATTGCTTTTTGAGTTTAAAGATTTATTATTTATTTGAAATACAGAGTCACAGAAAGATAGAAAAAGAGAGGTCTTCCATTTGCTCGTTCACTTCACAAATGGTCACAACGGCTGGAGCTGAGCTGATCAGATGTTAGGAGCCAGGAGCTTTTTTCGGGTCTCCCACATGGGTGCAGGGGCCCAAAGACTTGGTCCATCTTCTACTGCCTTCCCAGGCCATAGCAGAGAGCTGGATTGGAAAAGGAGCTGCCAGGACTAGAACTGGTGCCCATATGGGATGCCAGTACTTCAGGTTGGAGCTTTAACTTGCTGTGCCACAACGCTGCCCTGCTCAGTGTAATTGCTAACAGCAATAACTTTTGCTCTCAAAAGTGTCTGGATTGACCAATAAGATTTATTATGGTTACCCCACCTTTTAGGCTTATAGAATAGCTTGAAAGTGCAGCTTTCGTGTTATGTACTCAGCATGAGAAAATGGCTTTACTCTTAACTTTAATCAAAAGTAGCACCAAAAATTACATTTCTATTGTTTACATTATTTCCAAAAGTCTAGAACATATACCAGTATTGCTATAATGTATGACATCATTCCATGTATTATACCTACCAGTAATGATAACTTTGAAAAAAAATTGCCATTTATATAGGTCAAAATGTGTTTAATTCATTGCATATATCAAAATTTTCATCTGATTTTATGCTGGAATATTTGAAGATTATTTCCTTAGTAAGAGAGTACTGTAACAGTAAGTAAATTTTAAGATATTCCAGCTAAATAACATCACCAAAATCTGCCCTACTTATATTTAAATATATGCATACTAGATGGAGATCTTCCACCCACTAGTTCACTCTCTAAATGCTGTAATGGCAAGGACTGGACTAGGCCAAAGTAAGGAATACAGAAATCAGTCCAGGTCTTACACATGTATGGCAGCAACCCACTTACTTTAGCTGTCACCTGCTACCTCCCAGGGTGTGCATTAGCAGGAAGCTGGAATCAGAAATGGAGCTGGGACTTGAACATACACACTCTGATGTAAGGTAGTTATCCCAGGCAGTGTTTTTACTACTATACCAAATTATATGCCTTTCCTACCCCGCCACTTCTCCATCACTTTTTGCTGGCAAATATTTTAAAATTTTTTCATCTTTTAAAACTGATACAGAAAAGTTGTACATATTTACGGGGTACCATGTAAAGTATTCAATACATATATAGAGGGGCCGGCATTGTGGTGTAGTGGATAAAGCCACCACCAGCAACACTGGCATCCCACATGGGCACCGGTTTCTGGCTGCTCCATCTCCCTGCAGATAGCCCAGGAAAAGAAGTGAAGATGGTACAAGTGCTAGGGCCCCTGCCACCCACAAGGGAGACCCAGAAGAAGCTTCTGGCTCCTGACCATCTGGGGAGTAAACCAGTGGATGGAAGGTACCTCTCACACTCTAACTCTGCCTTTCAAATAAATATTAAAACAAAAACACACATATACATTGTGCAATGCTCAAATCAGGGTAAAGAACTTTCTTTTTTAAGACTAAATATTCCACTGTATGTATATACAGTATTTTATCCAGTCATCCATCCATCTGTCAACATTTTGGTTGTTTCCACATCTTGATGGTAAACAATGCTGCAGTGAACAGAGGAGTGCAAATATCTTTTGAGATCCTGATTTTAATTCTTTGGATAAATACCCAGAACTAGGATTGTTGTATCATTATCATTCTAATTTTTTGAGGAACTTTTATGCTGTGTTCCATAATAGCTATACCAATTTACCTTTCCATTAATAATGTATAAAGGTTCCAATTTCCCCACATTTTTGCCTTAGCTTTTTTTTGGGGGGGGGGGAGTGGTAGGGATGCATAATAGCCACCTTCTACATTAATAGGTATGAGGTGGAAAGTTCTGGAGTTTTTAAGCTAAAGGCATATAAAGGTTAAATCCACAAGAGAGGGTAAAATCATCAGTAAGAGAATGTGTAGAGTGGGAAGATGAACTAAGTCAACATGCTGGAGCACTAAAGAACTGCAAAATTACTCTGAGAATGAAACTGCAACACACCAGTCCTGGTGGAAAGGTTGGGCCATCTCTCCCCAATACTGTTCAGTGGATTGAAGCACAGCTGAGAGCCAAGAAAATAGAAACGGATTCTGCATGTAAAATTACGCCAGGCTTGGGGCTGGCATTTAATTTAGCGAATACAACACTGGTTGGGAAACTGCATCCCATATGTGTACCTGTATTTGATTCGCAGCTCAAGTTCCGGACTCCAGCTTCTTTCTAATGCACTCCCTGGGAGGCAGTGGTGATGGTCTGGTAATTGGTTCACTGCCACTCCACAGAGACCTGGCTTGAGTTCCTAGTTCCCTGCTTTAGCCTGGCCCAGTTCTGGTCACTGTAAGCATTTGGGGAGTGAGCAGCAAATGGGAGATCTATGTCTCTCCTTCTAAATAAATAATACTAAATATTTAAAACAGCATATCTGGCTCAAAGTCCAAATTATAGAAGATAAATGATAGCTGTCTTTCTTTCATCTTCCCACCTCATCCCTGCAGATTCCTACCACCATTGAGACATCTAAAGATTCTTAAGACCCAATATGAAAACTAAGTCTCTTCTTTCAAGGTTCTTGGTTATGAATAGAAGAAAGCAAGAGGGAATACTTAACTGGAGTAGAACAAAAGTTAGTTTAAGTTGGGAGAGACATGAACATAATTAATATAAAGATGGGCCAAGACAGAGTGAATAAGTGGAGACATGAACTTGAAGAAGGGAATATTGCCTCCAGAGATAAACGCCAGAAAGTGAGTGATTTGGAAGCAGCATTTGTGGCTGTGTAGATATGATATTATTACATATTCTCACCTATCTCCATGAAGTAGAGGCAAGGTCATTTTCTGTTCAGTCATGGGAGCTAAGATTGAGGGAATGGGTGAAGTTTAAAGGGAAATACTGGATGAAGAATGGAAAAGCAAACTTAGAACAAAGAAAAGGGACCCTGGATGGCTTCATAGTGCTAGTAAGGTTTGGATCATGAACTTCATATGCCTGGTACTTTTGGCAGGCAAAGAGTAAGTGCTCAATAAGTGTGTAAGAAGGCATGATTTGTTTAATTCCTCTTCTGTTTATACAAATAACCTTTCCTATTCACTAGTGTTTATACAGGACATAAGAGCATTTAACCTCAGGAAGACATGAATAGGTGTTAGATAGAAATAATAATCTACCCAATTATGGAAGCAAGTAAGAATATTTTAATGATTAAACACTAATGTGTTAACTAAGAAATACAAGTGCTAGTACAGTTCTTATCTTTCTGCACAAAGATATTCAGGATAAAATCTGAAATGCTTCTGGTCCGAAGCAATTCAGGTAAGGAATGTTAATTCAACCTGAATGATGGTCAAGAGTGTGGAATTTGTGGAGTTAGATATGAGGATATTTCAAAGTTTATGGAAAAGTGGAATTAAAAGTATGAGCTTAGAGTGGCAGTTAGTACAGCTAGTTAAGATGCTGCTTGGGATACCCACATCCTGTATCACAATTCCGGGCTTGAGTCCCAGTTCTGATTCCAGCTTCCTGCTAGTGTGTACCCTGGGAAGCATCAGGAGATGACTCAAGTACTTGGATTCCTGCCACCTATGTGGATTGATTTCTGGGTGTTTAACATTGTCCTGGGCCAACCCTGGTTGTTGTGTGCACTTTGTAGAGTTAAAAAAAGCAGATAGACGGAAAATCTCTGTATGCTTGTTACTGTCTCCCTCCCTCTTTCAAAAAAAATAAAAAAAAGTTTGAAACTCATGGAAATTCCAGTTTTCCATGAAAAAATTTTTTTAATATTTATTTGAAAGAGTTAGAGGGAGGAGAGACACACAGAGAGAAATCTTGCATCCACTGGTTCAATCCCCAAATGGCCACAATGACCAGGGTTGGGCCAGGCCAAAGCCAGATGTCAGAAACTTCTTACAGGTTTCCCACATAGGTGGCAGAGGCCCAGGGACTTGGGCCATCTGCTGCTGCTTACCCAGGCACATTAGCAGAGAGCCGGATAGGAAGTGAAGAAGCTGGGACTTGTCCTGGTACCCATATGGGATGCCAGTGCTGTAGGTGGCAGCTTAACCTGCTGTGCTGCCACGTCGGCCCCTTCATGAATTCTTAAAAATTATTTAAAAGGCAGAGTGACAGGGATAGAGGGAGGATTTTATCTGCTGGTTCACTCTTCAGATGCCAGCAACAGCTGGGGCTGGGCCAGGCCAAAGCCAGGAGCCAGGAACTTTATACAGGTCGCCCATGTGGATGGCAGGGACTCAAGTATTTAGGCCATCATCTACTGCCTCTTAGGTCTACCAGCAGGAAGTTGATCTGAAGCAGAGGTAGGATTTAATCTTGCACACTCTGGTATAGGACAGGTGTCCCAAGTGGCAGCCTAACCTACTGCACAATGCCTGAGGTTCTACAAGCTTTTTGTTCCCTCATGGAAGTTCAAATACCAGCTCAGACACTAAGTGAGGCATAAACTATAAATATACATGAGATAAAATGCTTACCACAGCAACTAACCATCAGTAAATGATTCTGAAAAACGTAGCTTTTAACTTTTTATTTTCGCCTGAAACAGCAATGTGAAGCCTTCAAAGGGAAGAGAGTATTGTAGCACAGGGTGGTTAATATACACATTATTGTGTTATCTTGCATCTATTACATCATGAGATAATATTAAGAGTATTATTTCTATCTTTTGATCTGTTCCTTTTGTTAACTTCATATTCTAAATTTTTGTGCCTCCTCCTTCCACAGCAGCTTTAATGATACTACTTTAGATGTTTATTTTTTAACTATCCACCATAGTTCCATTCTAGACATCAGGAATATACAGCAAGCAAGAAATCAGCCATACTCCTCAGTGCAGACTCAGAAATTTTTATAGATTTTTATTGTCATGAGTCTTCTGTCTCTCCTTGCATATATGTACACCCAGCAGAGAGAATTAAGGGGTTATAATAAACCAGACAAAAGAAACATGAAATAAGTCTCAATCATTTACTAATAAGACAGCAAAACTAAATACTGTTTTTTTATGTTCTAGTCACTTTAGACAAAGTTCAAAAATTTTAAATACACTTTCATTCTTCAATCACTGCATTTTATCTACTACTTCTCTAGAAGAAATGTTTGATGGATGGTCTGTAATATGCAAAAACGTTTTTTCCCCATTGAGTTTGGTGAAAGTCGATGACACTAGCTGTCTTTCTGCTATATGTTACCAGTTTACTTGTTAATTTGACTCAAATATTTATTCTCTATATATTTTCCACACAAGTTTAAAAAGCTTCTGTTATGAGATTAACTTGTGCATCTATTTCTGTACTATAGTCCCTACCAGAACTACCATAGTATATGATATGATTAAGAAGACATTTCCAGATCTGTAAGTTAATATTTAATGACAGACTGGTTAAATCAATTAAAGCACATATACATGAATATCATAAAACTATTCAAACTGAGTTTTTAGAAAAAAAATCAGAAAATGTTTCATGTTTTCAAACTGCGTAGCCATAAAATGTATATATTTTACATAATACAATATTATCCAAAGTTTTAAGTAAAAGCTCCTCATCCATTAATATTAATGGTGGCTACTATCTATGCTAGAAGAGTAATAGGTAATTTTGATTATCTTTGTGCTTTTGTGTTTTTGTCCAAAACAAACTTTATTATTTTTACCAACATGAAAATTATAATAAAGGTTTTTTCTGTAATCCTGACTATGGCATACTTGATTAAAATTCCCCATTACCAATGGCAATTTATCCATGTAGATCTGTGGGAAAAACAGTGCTATAAATTATGACCATTGATATTTTTCATGTGGAATGGAGATTATTCGCAAATACGATCTTTGGCTTTGAATTTGTAAAAGAATACATGATGCCCTCTTGTGGTAAATTTTTATAGGTGACAATTTTTTTCACTGAAACCTAATCTAAACCAAGAGAATACCAAGATACTATCTTATTGTTTCCTAAGCAGCAGAAAATAATGCTCACATATAATTAACAGTTTAGGAGTCACATTGCTGGGTTTGAAATGCTACCAGTTAGCCCACATGGGGCAATTTACATGAACACTAAGTTTACACATCTGTAAATGAAGAGAATAGATTTCCAGGTTTCTCTTAAAATACTTAATTTCCATTTTTGCTAGGTAAAATGCTTTATACATGTATATGTACATATGAGCTATTGAGCATTTGATACTTGCCAAGTACTGGAGTTTTTTACATTAACACTCATTTCATGCTAGGATACACCTAGTAAGTTGAACTATTAGATTCACTTTTTATATCTGTTTTTACCCCTCACATAAAATACTGTGGACATCTTCACATGTCATCTTCACATGTCAATAGGAATGTACCATTTTGACGGTTTCATCCTAGTACACAGTTATGAACTGTAATACTTCACTACTACAAATAATGCTAAAATATGCATTCTTATGTATCTTTTTAAAAAATTTATAAGAGTATTTCAATAGGAGCTTAACTCAAGAATTTGAATTACTGGGTAAGAAAAGTTTTACAGATTAAAAAAAAATCAGGGGTGGGCATTGTCACATTCAAAAGGTGAACCAATCTTTTCTATGTTGTGTGCCACTAAGCACACTTTTTTTTAAAAAAGATTTATTTCCTTGAAAGGCAGAGTGACAGAGAGGGAGGGAGACCTACACACAGAGATCTTCCATCTGCTGGTTCACTCCCAAATGCCTGCTACCACCAGGGCCGCACCTGGCTAAAGCCAGAAGCTAGGAAATCCATCTGGGTCTTCCATTTGGGTGCCAAGAACCCAAGCACTACTTTGAATGCTGACTGCCAGGCACATTAGCACAAAATGGGATTAGAAGCAGAGTGGCCAGGACTAGAAATAGGCACTCCAGTATGGGATCTGTATCCCAAGCAGTGAGTTGTACCCCAATGCGTGTCTCAGCACAACTTTTGTTTTTATTAATTTGTATTTCCTTATTACCTTATTAATTTGGTTCTACTTAGTATATAAACTGTCTTCTTCCATATTGCAGTACTTCTAGTTTCAGAATTTATATATATATATATATATTTTTTTTTTTTTTTGACAGGCAGAGTGGACAGTGAGAGAGACAGAAAGGTCTTCCTTTGCCGTTGGTTCACCCTCCAATGGCCGCCGCGCTGCAGCCGGTGCACCTGATCCGATGGCAGGAGCCAGGCGCTTCTCCTGGTCTCCCATGGGGTGCAGGGCCCAAGCACTTGGGCCATCCTCCACTGCACTCCCTGGCCACAGCAGAGAGCTGGCCTGGAAGAGGGGCAACTGGGACAGAATCTGGCGCCCCGACTGGGACTAGAACCCGGTGTGCCGGCGCCGCAAGGCGGAGGATTAGCCTAGTGAGCCGCGGCGCCAGCTACAGAATTTATATTATTTAATATACCTGGAATTTACATTTATGGTTTGAAATAAGAATAGCTCACTTTTTTTTTTAATAAATTGAAGTTCTTTATTTTATGTACAAAGAGCTAGCATGACTTTCCATAGCGCTGATGTCTTAGAGAATCCATTCAAGGTAAATGACTTAATCCAACTTAATGAAGTCAATATCCTTTGCGTATTGACGGAAACACTGGCAGCACATGTTAAGCCGGTATTTCTGGATCAGACTGTGCCAGTTTGAGCAGGGCTGGCAAGAGCAGGAACCCTGGCTGAATTTCTGCAGTGACTCCAGCAGAGCTCCTGGTGACCCATCTTGCTTTCAGGAATGCAACCTCAGTATTTTTTTTTTTTTTTAAGATTCATTTTATCTCTTTGAAAGGCAGAGTTTGAGAGAGAGAAAGGGAAAGAGATCTTCCATCCATTGGTTCACTTCCGAATAGCTCTAACAGAGCTGGAACAAGCTGAAGCTAGGAGCCTAGAACTCTATCCAGTTCTTCCAAGTGGGTGTCAGCAGCACTTTTCCCAGGTGCAGCAGCAGAGAACCAGATCTAAGTGGAGCAGCTGGGACTTGAACTGATGCTTACATGGGATACCAATGTTACAGGCAGCGGTTTATCCTGTTGTGCCATAACACTGGCCTCCACTATTAATTTATTTTTCTTTTTAAATATTTATTTTTATCTTATCTGAAAAGCCAAGACAGACAGAAACATCTTCCATGTATTGATTCACTGCCCAGATGCCTGCAATAGCTAGGGCTGGGCCACGGTAAAGCCAGGAGCCCAGAACTCCATCTCGGTCTCCCACTGGGGTGGCAGAAACCCAAGTACTTGAGCTTTCACCTGGTGCCTGCCAGGGTATGCATTAGCAGAAAGCTAGAATCAGTAAGAGGCTGAGACTCAAATCCAGGAACTCTGATATGGAATGTGGGTGCCCTATGAGGCTTTTCAACTGCTATATCAAATGCCTGCCCTATTGTTATTTTTTTTTTTAATTCTTCAGTTATTCTTGAGGATTATTCTTCCATGTAAACTTAACATCACATTTCCAAGACCCATAAAATCTCACTTGGATTTTAATTGATTTAGATTGACTTGATATATAAATTTGTGGATGTTCTTGAGTCCACTTAGAAATATGGATTCTTGGGACTGGCATTGTGGTGCAGTGGGTTAATCCACTGCTTTGTGATGCTGGCATCCTTACAGAACTGCCAGTTTTAGTCTGGGCTCTTCTGCTTCAGATCCAGCTCCCTGTTAATGCACCTGGGAAAGCAGCAGAAGATGGCCCAGTACTTGGGTCCCTGACACCCAAGTGGGAGACCAAGATAGAGTTCCTGGCTTCAGCATGATCCAGCCCTGGCTGTTGTGGCTATTTGGGAAGTGAACCATAGGATGGAAGATCTGTATCTTCCTCTCTCTCACCCTTTCAAATAGATAGATAAATGAATCTTAGGATTCACACACTTTGATTCAGTTTTTTTACTTCCCCCAAGTGGCCGCTATGGCCAGCGCATCGCGGCCGGTGTGCTGTGCCGATCTGAAGCCAGGAGCCAGGTGCTTCCTCCTGGTCTCCCATGCAGGTGCAGGGCCCAAGGACCTGGGCCATCCTCCACTGCACCCCCGGGCCACAGCAGAGAGCTGGACTGGAAGAGAAGCAACTGGGACAGAATCAGGCGCCCCTACCGGGACTACAACCCGGGGTGCTGGCGCTGCAGGCGGAGGATTAGCCTAGTGAGCCGCGGCGCCAGCCTTATTATTTTATAATTATTTACTACTAGATACAGCATGCTCACAAACATAAAACTTTATAACCATTCTTTATTCAGAAGTATGATTGCCAATAAAGCATATGTGCAGTTTGATCACAAATTTTACACAGTATTTGCATTAGCTAAAAATAAGTCCACTGAACTTGTCTTAAATAAAGTGCTTTTAAAAAGTTGGTCTTTTGCTGGTGCCGTGGCTCACTAGGCTAATCCTCCGCCTTGTGGCGCCGGCACACCGGGTTCTAGTCCCAGTTGCCCCTCTTCCAGGCCAGCTCTCTGCTGTGGCCAGGGAGTGCAGTGGAGGATGGCCCAAGTGCTTGGGCCCTGCACCCCATGGGAGACCAGGAGAAGCGCCTGGCTCCTGCCATCGGATCAGCGCGGTGCGCAGGCCGCAGCGCGCCGGCCGCGGCGGCCATTGGAGGGTGAACCAACGGCAAAGGAAGACCTTTCTTTCTGTCTCTCTCTCTGTCCACTCTGCCTGTCAAAAAAAAAAAAAAAAAAAGTTGGTCTTTTTACCACTCCAGTTATAAAGTAATATTTGATATAAAAGTCTAAATATTGAAATGTACAAAGTAGAAAAATAAAATTCTCTATTTGCTCCCCTCCACCACCACCTCTGCAAACGCTACTATTTGATATTTCTTTCTTCAGACAATATATTTTTTTTGACAGGCAGAGTTAGACAGTGAGAGACAGAGAAAGGTCTTCCTTCCATTGGTTCACCCCCTAGATGGTCGCTGCGGCTGGCAAGCTGCGCTGATCCAAATCCAAGAGCCAGGTGCTTCCTCCTGGTCTCCCATGCGGGTGCAGGGCCCAGGCACTCAGGCCATCCTCCACTGCCTTCCCAGGCCATAGCAGAGAGCTGGACTGGAAGAGGAGCGAGAATATTAGCATCATCCTAGACACAATATTTTTCCTTACTCAGAGTATTTTGTTCTAGGTCATTACAAAGTCATCTACTTTTTAAAAAAAGTTTTACATGGCTACATGGTATTTTCTACTATTTTGAATAGACATTTAAGTGTTCATCTTTTGGTGCTTACTTGTATTTTTGTTATTTTTGCCATCCATAACAATTTTGCAGTGAACACTTTTAAGTAGATACCAGTCCCCTTGTTTGAATACTTCCGTAGGTAAATTTCTGTAAGTACTATTGTTTGGTGAAAGGATACATACTTAAAAAATGTACAGCTGCTTTATATCACTTTAAATCTCTGCTAATACTATGATACTCCTTTCCCACATACCCTATCAATAATGAGCATTAATCTTATGACTGCCAAAATATATCTATTTTAATTTATATTTTACCACTAGTGAAGTTCACGAAACCAAAATTATGGACATAACTACTCAATTAAATTTCCATTTTGGATACAAATGCTTTTCACCCATATTCCATATAGATTTATAACATAAATTTCACATTTTAAAATTTGTTATGTATACACATAAATGGTAGGCTTTTTGAAAAATATTTATTTATTTGAAAGGCAAAGTTAAAAAAGGGAGACACAGAAAGAAGAGTATCTTCTATCCACTGGTTTACTCCTGCAATGTCCACCAGTTGCAAGGCCTGGGCCAGGGCGAAGCCATGAGCCTGGAACTCTATCTGGGTTTCCCATGTCGGTGGCAGGGACTCAAGCACTTGGGCCATCAGCTACTGCCTTCCCAGGTATATTAGCAGGTAGCTGATCAGAAACAGAGCAGCTGGGACTTGAATGGGGTGCTCACATGGGATGCCGGTTGTCACAGGTGGTAGCTTAACCCATGCACCACAATGCCAGCCCCTAAATGGTAGACTTTATAGCCACACTATGACTGTCAAAATCTTAACAGTTGGCATTTTCAAGTCCTATGCAACTTAAGCAAAAGTGTCCCATGATTATGTTTGTAGCTTTTATGAAGTCTTTTCTGTAGCTTGCTTTTCCTTTTGTGAGGTGAAAACAGTAAAATTAAAACAATAAAAATTTTACTTATTTATTTGAAGGTTCATTTACAGACAGAGAGATTCTCCATGTGGGTTCACTCCCCAAATGGCTGAAATGGCCAGAGCTGGGTCAAACCGAAGCCAGGAGCTCCTTCTGGGTCTCTCATATGGGTGCAGTGACCCAAGCACTAAGGCCATTTTCTGCCACTTTCCCAGGCACACTAGGAGGGAGGTGGATCTGAAGTGGAACAGCCAGGACTTGAACCAGTATCTCATATCGGATGGCCAGCCGCCACCTGCAACACTGGCTTTAAGCACTACACCTCAGTGCTGGCCCCAAAACAGTAAAACATAACACTTTTATTTATATGGTTCATATACTTTATGAAACATCAAACATCAGTTGAAGTGATGTATCTGCTACAAGTCCTACGGTGAATTTTATTTCCGTAAGTGTTAAATATGTTTCCATTTTAGTTTTTATTTTATCCTTAAGATATAGGAGCCTGTGTTACAGAGCAGCACGTTAAACCACCACTTGTGACATGGTATCCTGTATCAGAGTGTCAGTTTGAGTCCTGGCTGCTCTGTTTTCCACCCAGCTTCCTGCTAATGCACCTGGAAAGGTAGCAGAAGAAGGCCCAAGTACATGAGCTCCATGCCACTCAAGTGAGATATGTATGGAGTTTCTGACTCCTGGCTCCAGCTTGACCCAGCCTTGGAAGTTGCAGCCATTTGGGAAGTGAAACATGGATGGAAGAGCTCTCTCTCTTCCTTTCTGTCCCTCCTTTTTAAATAAATCAACATTTAAAAAAAAAAGTTACATGTGAAGGAAGAACAAGGGAACCTGAGATGGCCTAATGCTATTAAATTGGAAGGCAGGTGATAATTTCTGCAATGAATAAACTATACATATTTTAAAAAGAAACTTCATGAATCTTCCCTATAATTAGTACCTATATAACAACGTTCCAGTATGAAGGAATGCCATAAAACATCATCTGTAATACAGGGATATTCTTGTTTCTCTAAAGAGGCTGACAGTGTTGCTGCTTCACCCAAGGGAATACAAAATCCAGAGTATATGCAGAAAACTTGCACCAAGAGGGTACACTGACTGTATACTATGTTAAAATCACCAAATATTTAATGATTGAGAAAAACCACTGTTACTAATCATCTATTTATGATCTTTACCCTGTCAGTAGTGTGCTTTTTCATGATTTACAGTTCAAGTAAATGAAAATGGTATATAGTTGTCAGCCTCCTTTTTAGAAATAACTAGTCTGTAACAAGGAGCTCTGTCAAGGATTAGTGGCTGATCAATATAATTTAATGTCTTGCATTCTCATTCACTCAATAGAATCTTTGAGGTTTTATTTCTACAACTTGGTCTAGTGATGACTGTTCTCACAAATCTCAGGAGTTAGTAGATTTCATATGTAACCTGATTGTGGAGACATGATGGAACATGGGCTTTAAAAACATATAGCTTGTTTTAAAGTCAGGGCTTCATTATTTCACTTTTTCTGATCTTGTGCATTTTTAACTTCTCTGAAACCTGATCCATACTGGGATAGTAACGGGACCGACCTCTAGGGATATTGTGAGATTAAATATTTTGGTACATAGAAATAAAAAGAATTTATTATTTAATATTATCTGTAAAATGTACAGAATGGTTACTTGCAAGGTAAAATGTATCTATTTTATTTTATTAAGAGGAAAATTCCTACCAATCACCAACTATGGAATTAACACATGCCTAGTAATTAAGTATAAGTCAACATATTTTCTTAACTTTAAATCAGTTTACTGAAAAGATAAATACTTCGAGATAAATAGTGGAATTAAAAAAAAAACCAACATTAAGCACTTTAATATTGATGTAAGCACACTTACCAAAAGAATTTGTATTTTTCGAACATCCATGTCCAAGTTCAACCTCTAAAATTTAGAGGTTTGCAGTTACGCCTACAAATATAAAATAAAATGGACAATTAAAACAAATTATTTTCACTGTTCAGTCATAAACCACCTCTACTTGAAACAGCCTGACAGGGTTTGAAAACTGGTTTTATACAGCCATCTTTTGTCTTCATTAGAGCAATCCTGGGAGTTGTCTAAGGGAGATATTAAATCATGGAACCATAATTACTTCTGCAGTCATAATTATTAAAAGAGGGCCAGCAAAAATTTGTACCTCATACTTACACTTGGAATTTAAGACCCAGCTGCTGAGAGGGTACTGATATCACTTCATTAGGAATGGATTGGAAACATGTATTGATGCAGTTCAAGTAAATAAAACTGCTATCAAGTTGTTAGCCTCCTTTTCAGGAAATACCTAGTTTGTTGAGTTCCTTCTGCTTCAAATTTTAGAATAAGATGAAGATAGTAAATATAGGTAGAATCTTCAACAGGTAGTATCTGAAATGGTCAAATCCAAAATCAGCACTTTTTCCAAGTGGCTCTGTCATTTAGTCATCAGCACTAATGAAGATAATTAAGATTTTATACTAAAGAACCATCTAATTAGTAGGCATATCGCAAAAATAATACTGCTCTTCTTGACACTGGCTATTATTTTCCCAAAATTCTCATACCTGTAACAACAACAAATATAACAGATGATATCTGCCAACTTCATGATAAAGACTTGAATTTTTCCAACTTCACCCCAATTGCCCACAAATCTCATTAATACCACAAACTCTCTAGGATCCATTAGGGAATAGTGCAATAACTCTTAACAGTTAAATTCTTAATGCTCACAATTAATCTCCCTTGTTATGTCAATTATACCTAGGAAAATACATTCAGGTTTAAGCAGGCATTCACTATCATTTTCTGTGGGCAGGAAATGGCCATTAAGTTAGAGATACATTAAGTTAAAGCTTGTATGTGGCTTAATAGGCAAAGAGTAATATATAACATTAGAACTAGAAGTCTCTAAGATTAAAAATTAGTTTTCTAATGAAGTAGCAAATATCTTAAATTTCACTGTAAAATTGACTTCACACTTTCACAGCACTGAACAACTTTATGATTTGTGTACTTTCATTTTTTTCTGTACTTGAATACAACTAAAAAATTGCAACACGAATTTTTTGAAGACCAAGGCCATCCGATGATTTATTAGCAAGTTGTTTTTTTCTGATAAAGATGAAGGTGACAGGAAAAGTACTGCTGATCTCAGTTCCTAAAAACTTACCTTTGGAAAAAAATCCAAACTCATAATCTTTTTTTTTTTTTTTTTTGTAGTTCACGCCCACTTACGAGACTAATGGGATTACAGTGGTATAAAAATGAAGGACTACTGAAGAATCTGCACTGTACTATCTGACTATTTTAGACTTCCAGTAGACTCAAACCTTTTTTGAACAAAGCACTCTGAGTGGCTTTATGTAATATCAGGCATATTACTCAGATGTCTTCAAAATAAAGGCCAAATTCTTGGGTTAGGAAAGTCCTATGTGTAGCAACTTTGATAATTGAAAGATGTTTTATTTATATTTGTAATTAGCTACCACAAATTTTAGACTTTTTATATGCACATTTTGATATGTGGCTTTTGGGGAAAGCATGGTTAATAAAAAGTTGATTTTTAAAAGGGAATTTTCTAATTTTACCTATTTTCTTTGTTAAATATTTAAATACATTGAAGTGAAATATCCCATTCCTTTTTTTATACACAGAACAAAAACACACATTGTCATGCCTCAAACTACTTTTTATTTGCAACTACATGATTTCACGCAATTCTTCTAAATAACAATGACATAAAATAGATTTTCTTGTGTATAAATAACTTACATACTCTCCACTAAGTAAATGCTCAAAGGTGCTAGAACAGATCGTCAACTCCTACAGTGTTCTTGTATCCAACAGAGTTGATGCACAATATATAAATACTCAAGTCCAATATTAAAAACTCAGGCACTTGACTAACTTTAATAAAGTTTCTCAAACTATATCAATATCTAAAGTGCATATATATATAATTTTTAAGAAAGATTATTCTCAATAACTTCTCTATAAAAATAAGTTTGATGGTTTTGTCCATCTAACTTCACCACTATGAATATGAACTTTTAAACTTTTAATGTATAGTAAGGTTTCAACATCACACCAACAGAATAAAAGAAGCTAGTGAGGTGCTAACATGTGAGGATTAATCCAATGATTCCGGTCACAATGCATTCCAGGAGGAGGTACCCATGTCACTGGAATCGGGCGATATGGTTTATTCTTTCTTCCCTGATTTGGATAACCAAATGGAACAGGAGGAGGGTAGTGATTCTGGTGACCATTCCCTCGGTACATTCCTGGCTTTTTTCTGGGTAAAGGGTGCCACATTGGAAGAGGTGGGAATATTAGTTCTGAAATCTGTAGAGAAGAGAAAACATCAAGTTATTTCAATGGAAAAATTAGCTGTGTGTTAATGAAACTCTAGGTTACCTTCCAGATTCTTCATTAGAAGACAAACAAAAAATCACTTAACCACAACCACAACAGTAAGTATAAGTGACATTACTATGGTTAAGTCTAAATATATTATAATTGACTGATCATGTTTTCTGAATAAAGAAGTGAATAAACTCAACCACCACACTCAAAGTTCAACTAGAAAAGATCAAAACAGAATGAATGGAGGCTTTTGACAATACATCATATTTTAGACCAGAAGTTTCCACAGCACTAAGCAAAGAGTCAATGTGTAATTGACTCCTTGCTTATGACTTTAAACAAAAGCTGTTCACGGTCCAATACTTGTTTACTGAACAGTAATAAAATCTTAGGAATAGAACGCAAGTATTTGAAAAAGTTCTCCAGCTGATTCTGAAGCAGCCAATTTAGTGCTTCAGAACAGTCAGGTGGGTATATCAAGTTCACATTCAAAATGTTCTTATCAGCAGCTTTGGATCTCTCTGCTCAGAATGCTACACCCTGTGAGCTTCAGATTTCCCAGATGTCTAATTTGTTTTTGTAAGTACATTTTAAAAAAAATTCACATTCTGTACAGCACCATATTAATGTGATAAAGTTCCAACAGCACCAAAGGTCACAATGTGGAAAGTCCCTCTTTATCTAAGTGGGCTACCCAATTACCTATCTCAGGAGCAAATGACACCAGTTTTTTTGTGTATCCCTTAAGAACTATCTTTGCATACACCTGTGGGCATATATCTATAATTAGATTAAAAAAAAAAAAAAAAAAAACCTCGCAAACACTCTTCTGTACTTGGTTTGGTAGACATATTTTCACTTGTCCTAGCAAATACACAGGGATGGGATGCATATTTAACTTTAAAAGTGTTTCAGGGGCCCAGTGTTGTGGTGCAGTAAGTTAAGCCTCTGCCTGCGACACTGGCATCCCATACGGACATAAGCTCAAGTCTTGGCTGCTCCTCTTCTAACTCCCTGCTAATGTGCCTGGGAAAGACTGGAAGACTGGAAGAATCTCCTAACTCCTGGCTTTGGCCTGGCTTAGCCCTGACTATTGTGGCCATTTGGGGAGTGAACCAATAGATGCAGCGTCTCTCTCTCTAACTCTGACTTTCAAGTAAAGAAAATATAAATCTTTAAAAAAAATTTTTTTAAAGTGGTTGTACCATTTTGCACTCCCACTAGCAATTTACTAAACCTAGTTGCTTTGCACTCTTACATGTACTTTGTGTTCTAAAAGTTTGTAATAAAGCTTTTCAGGAAGTAGTTATTTCATTGTGGTTTTAATTCATACTTCCCCAGTGACAAGTGAGGTTAAGCAAGCTTTCATTTACTTATTGCCCACTCACGTAAGTTTATATATATATAGTGTTTATTCACATCTTTTGCCAATTATTTTAAACTGTGTCATTTGTCTTTTATTATAGGAATGACTTCTAAAATATAGTCTGGAAACAAATTCTTTACAGATATAGGTAATGAGAATATCCTGTCCCAGTCCATGGTTTATACATTTTCTTAATGCTTCTTTTGATTAAAAGAAGAAAAGATATTTTGAAGAAGTCTAATTTATCAGTATTTTCTCTTGTTAGTGTTTTTTGTGACCCCTGGAATAAATCTTTGCCTATCTCAAGATAACAAAGGTATCTCCCTGTTCTCTTCTAAAGGCTTCAGAGATTTAGCATTTATAATTAGATCTGTGATCCATCTCTAATAGATTTTTTGTGTATGGTGTCATGTAGCAGTTGATTTTTTTCCTTTCATATAATTATCCAATCGTTGTAGCACTATTTCTTGAGGACTTTGCTTTACGAATTACTTTGGCTTTTTTTTTTTCTTAAACTGTGTCTGTGGGTCAATTTTTAGACTTTGTATGCTGTACCACTGATACATTTTTAATCTTAAATCATAAGCATAGTATCAAAGAATATAATAAATATATATTAATTAGTTTGAGTCCTCCAACTCGATTCCTTCTTTTTGTTTTTTGGTTTTTTTTTTTGACAGGTAGAGTTAGACAGTGAGAGAGAGACAAAGAGAAAGGTCCTCCTTCCGTTGGTTCAACCCCCAAATGGCCACCATGGCCGGCGCACTGCGCCGATCTAAAGCCAGGAGCCAGCTGCCCCCTCCAGGTCTCCCATGCGGGTGCAGGGCCCAAGCACTTGGGCCATCCTCCACTGCCTTCCGGGGCCACAGCAGAGAGCTGGACTGGAAGAGGAGCAACCGGGACAGAACTGGCGCCCCAACTGGGACTAGAACTCGGGGTGCCGGTGCCGCAGGTGGAGTATTAGCCTAGTGAGCCATGGTGCCAGCCTTGATTCCTTCTTAAAATTTTGTCATTTCAAATATTAAAATAAATTTGCCACTGAAAAAACTACCAGCAATTAATTTAATTTGGGACTTAACTAACAAAATTTTGAAGCAAAACTGCCACACATTTAAATGAATTCCAAGAATTCATATAAAGGTAATTTGCAATGTATTACACATCACACAGCCAAAAAAAAACCACCAAAATATTTATCGTAAAGTTTACAAAATGACTCTATGATTCTGAGGTAAAAATATTTTACTTATCTACACAGGGAATTTCTCTGGAAGAACAGTGAAAACATCCAAATCTGGTGTTGAATGCTACTATGGAAGGGCACAAGACTAGTGGTTGGAAAGAGAGTGACGATCTCTCACTATTATACTCTTGCATTTTTTGAAGTTTCACAAAATGCATGTTAAAATATATACAAGTATCTCTGATTTCATAATCTTCAGAATTAATCTTTATCAAACATGCAAAGAAATTAACAATTGAAAAAAGAAATAAAAGTTACACTGAAAGAATGTTATTTATGTATATGCTGAAAAATAAAAGTTTAATTCCTCATTATCAAACTGCAATTCTCTGCTTCTTACTCACTGTGTCTAAATTTTCATTTTAGCCAAATTGAACCCTATCATAAACCTAGTGTGTTCATTATGTCTAATTAAGACAGAATGATAAAAATAGCTACATTAAAAAAATCTACTCAAAATCAAAAATACATGTCCAGAATAAGGCTCAATTCAAAAAATGTATTGATTTAAAAAAATGGTTGGTCAGGTGTTTACCCCAGTTAAGATATCTACATCCTATATCAGGAGTACCTGGGTTCAATACTTGGCTCTACCTCTTGATCCTGCTTCTTGCTAATGAACACCCTTCGAGGTAGCAGTGATGGATCAAGTGACTGGGTTCTTGCAAAATACATGAGACCTGGATTGAGTTCCCAGATCATTGCTTTGGCTCCAGCCTAGACCTGGTCATTGTGGGCATATGAGGAATAGACTAGTACAAGAGAGCTCTTTTTCTGTCTCAAATAAACAATCAATTTTACAAAGCATTTTTCTTCTGCTCAAGAGTACTGTTTGGTCAAAAAAATTTTCAAAGTATATCAATCAAATTGCTTTGGTATGTTAATATAGTAAGTGAGCAAAATCTGTAAATGTAGGCATGCTAGCTATATACGACTGTTCAAATGAAGAGGGGGACTGTTTTGGCATGAGCAAAAAATTAACCAAAAAATAATTTAGTGAAGTTACTCTTTAATAACAGAGACAAACAAGAAAACAAAACCCAAAGTTATAAACTGGAAATGTTAAAGACTACAAAAAAAGAGTGACAATTTCTGAATAAAATAAGGGATTTTAATATATCAGGAAAGTTTTATTATCATGAGTTATTTTTTCAACTTCCTTTTGAAATACATTTATTCTCATTTTTTTGTTTTTAAGATTTATTTATAAATAAAAGCTTATTTACAAATAAAATTAGAGAGAGAGAGAGGGGAGGAAGACAGAGAGATATTTTCTATCTGCTGGTTTACTCCCCAAAGTGGCTCCAACAGCCAGGGCTGGGCCAGATGAAAGCTGGGAGCCAGAAGCCTCTTCCAGGTGTCCCTCACGGATGGCAGGGTATCAAGCACCTGCACTATCCTTGGCTGCCTTCTCATGCCATTAGCAGGAAGCTTGGATAGGAAGTAGAGCCGAGACTACAGCGTCCATATGGGATGCTAGTGCTACAGGCAAAGCCTTCCACTGCTGGCCCCTATTTTAACTCTTTAATGAGACAGAACTTGATAAAGTAACTTAGGATTCCTATTTATATCTCAAAGCAGTTTCTACCTACTGTAGGGAAGGCAGGAGCTACCATTCAAAGTCTCAAATCAGAAATCTTGGGTAACCTGAGCAGGGCTACCTATACAACACTCTGCCAAGCCCAGTCCATCCCCTTCAATACAGAGGCATTTCATGATTACCTGGTAAACAGGGCTTGGAGTTGCAGTCATCGAATTGGGTTTCACTTCCACTTCCTTACTTGTTTCTTCATCTGATGAAGAAGATCCTGAATGATAATCAGAGGTAACCTTATCAAGGGCCCTGGTAACTTTCTTGGAGATCTCATCCTTATTTTCATCCTCATTTTCAAAGCTGGCAACAATGAAAGCATTGTTTTTCTCTCCATACCTAAGTGCACATAAAAAACTCATAAATCTTAAAGTCGCATCAACAAAGCAAGAAATATGCATAAAAACAATCAGGTCTGGACATGCCATTAATCCAAGGCAGAGAAGGAACCACCTCAGAACTAAATCCTAAACATCTAATATGTTAACCCACCTCCGTGGCAGCAAACAGGCCACAGTTTCTACTTCTGGTTTATTTAGATACAAACAAAAGTGATACCTTTTCTTTATTTTCTTTTTTCTGACTCTTAATAGAATTTTTTTAAAAACATCAAAAACAAATTCATTGTTCTGATTTTTTTTAAAGATTTATTTATTTGAAAGTCAGAGTTACACACAGAGAGAAGGAGAGGCAGAGAGAGGCCTTCCATCCACTGGTTCACTCCCCAATTGGCCACAATGGTTACAGCTGTGCCGATCTGAAGCTTCTGCCAAGTCTCCCACACAGGTGCAGGGGCCCAAGGACTTGAGCCATCTTCTACTGCTTTTCCTAGGCCATAGCAGGGAGCGAGATCGGAAGTGAAGCAGCCAGGACTTGAAATGGCACCCATATGGGATGCCGGCACTGCAGGCAGCAGCTTTTCCCCTGCACCACAGCACCAACCTCTGTGCTGATTATATTTTAATATGCATTAATGAAATTGTAGAGTAAAAGTTTTTAATTATATATATACTAAGATGTAATCTTTTTTTTTAAAGATTTATTCAATTTATTTGAAAGCCAGAGTCACAAAGAGAGGGAGTTACAGACAGAGATCTTCCATCTGCTGGCTCACTCCCCAAATGGCCATAATGGCCAGAGCTGATCCAATCTGAAGCCAGGAGCTTCTTCCAGGTCTTCCACGTGGGATATAGGGGCCAAAGCACTTGAGCCATCTTCCACTGCCTTCCCACACCATAGTAGAGAGCTGGATCAGAAGAAGAGCAGCCTGAGGCTGGTGCTGCGGCTTACTAGACTAATCTGCCTGAATTGCAGGCACCCCGGGTTCCAGTCCCGGTTGGGGCACCAGTTCTGTCCTGGTTGCCTCTCTTCCAGTCCAGCTCTCTGCTGTGGCCCGGGAGGACAGTGGAGGATGGCTCAAGTGCTTGGGCCCTGCACCCGCATGGGAGACCGGGAGGAAGCACCTGGCTCCTGGACTCGGATCAGTCCAGTGCGCCAGCTGCAGCGTGCCGGCCGTAGCGGCCATTAGGGGGGTAAACCAATGGAAAAGGAAGACCTTTCTCTCTGTCTCTCTCTCTCACTGTCTAATTTTGCCTGTCAAAAAAAAAAAAAAAAAAGTAGAGCAGCCTGGACTCAAACCAGTGCCCATATGGGATGGCAGTGCTGCAGGTCAGGGCTTTAACCCACTGTGCCACAGCACTGGCACCTTTAAATATTTTTAAATGACCACCATAGTGTGTATCCTGGTAATTTAAGTCACAACTCAACTAGACATTTCCTCTGAGGTTTAATCTTAGGATGATTAAATGGTAAGTGGTCTGTTTTTTATATTTACAATGACAAAAATGAAAATTCAGGCAATTATGGAGATTAAAGAAAAATCTCACTGAGGAAAAACACTGAGAATTTTTTCGTTAATTATATTGCTTACTATATAGATTACTAAGACAACTGTTCACTTCTCACCTTATTTTCAAAGAATAAAATGAACAAGTCCTTTCATCTTTATGAATTCTAAAAGCTTGATCTAAGAACAATTTAAGAATCATACTATGGCTGGCACTGCGGCTCACTAGACTAATCCTCCACCTGCGGCACCGGCACCCCGGGTTCTAGTCCCAGTTGGGGTGCCAGTTCTGTCCTGGTTGTTCCTCTTCCAGTCCAGCTCTCTGCTGTGGCCCGGGAGGACAGTGGAGGATGGCTCAAGTGCTTGGGCCCTGCACCCGCATGGGAGACCAGGAGGAAGTACCTGGCTCCTGGCCTCAGATGGGCACAGTGCGCCGGCCATTTTGGGGATGAACCAACGGAAGGAAGACCTTTCTTTCTTTCTCTCTCACTGTCTAACTCTGCCTGTCAAAAACAAAAACAAAAACAAAAACACATACTATGTCAAAATATATAACCTTGGCTGTTACTTCAAAAAAAAAAAAAAGGAAAATACTTTCTGCAATGAGAGAAATAGCATAATGGACAACAAAACCAAGTTTTTATTCAGAGCACAAAGGAGCAACCAACAAATCTTTTTAAATAGATTATATAAGGTAAACATAAAACAATTTTTAGTACGTTAGGACAATGGAAAGTGTTCTTACACAATACGTAAAAACTCAGAAATACAACTAGCTATTCTTTTTAAAATTTTTTTGAAAGTTTATTTTATTTATTAGAAAGGCAGAGTAATACAGAGAGGGAGAGAGACATAGACAGATCTTCCATCTGCTGGTTCAATCCCCAAATGGCTGCAACCGTCAAGGCTGGGCCAGACTGAAGCCAGAAGCCAAGAGCCTCTCCTGGGTCTCACATGTGGGTGCAGGAGCCCAAACACTTGGGCCATTCTCCACTGCCTTCCCGAGCCACAGCAGAGAACTGGACAGGAAGAGGAGCAACCGGGACTAGAATCGGTGCCCACATGGAATGCCAGCACCACAGGTGGAGGATTAACCAAATGAGCCACAGGACCGGCCCAACATCAGCTTTATTAACTCAAATTTCTTGGACCTGAACTATTGAGTTCTGTATCTTGCCTGTGTAATATTTCCATCTTTTTGGTAAGTGAAGTTGCTGATATTATTACTGTAGTATTTTTTTTTTTTTTTGACAGGCAGTGTTAGTGAGAGAGAGAGAAAGAAAGGTCTTCCTTCCATTGGTTCATCCCCAAAATGGCCACCACGGCTGGCGCACTGCAACGATCCAAAGCCAGGAGCCAGCTGCCCCCACTCCTGGTCTCCCATGCGGGTGCAGGGCCCAACCACTTAAGCCATCCTCCACTGCCTTCCCGGACCACAGCAGAGAGCTGGACTGGAAGAGGAGCAACCGGGATAGAACTGGCGCCCCAACTGGGACTAGAACCCGGGGTGCCGGTGCCGCAGGTGGAGGATTAGCCTAGTGAGCCGTGGCGCTGGCCATATTACTGTAGTACTAAAATGCACAGTTAATTTCTCAGGAGTGTTAGTAATAAATGATTTTTTTAAAGATTTATTTATTTATTTAAAAGTCAGAGTTACAGAGAGAGAGGAGATGCAGAGAGAGAGATAGAGAGGTCTTCCATCCATTGGTTCTCTCCCCAGTTGGCCCTAAGGTTGGAGCTGCGCCGATCCAAAGGCAGGAGCCAGGAACCTCCTTTGGGTCTCCCATGCATGTGCAGGGGTCCAAGCACTTGAGCCATCCTCTACTGCCTTCCTAGGCCATGGAAGAGAGCTGGTGGGAAGTGGAGCAACTGGGTCTCAAAACGGCGCCCACATGGGATGCCGGCACTTAAGGCCAGGGTGTTAACCCGCTGCACCACAGCACCGGCCCCGACAATTTTTTTTTTTTAAAGATTTATTTTATTTGTTTGAAAGAGTTACAGAGAGAGGTAGAGCCAGAAGAGAAATATCTTCCATCTGCTGGTTCACTCCCCAAATGACCGCAACGGCCAGAGCTGAGCTGATCCAAAGCCAGGAGCCAGGAGCCTCTTCTGGGTCTCCCACAATGGTACAGGGGCCCAAGGACTTAGGCCATCTTCCACTGCTTTCCCAGGCCATAGCAGAGAGCTGAATCAGAAGTGGAGCTGCCGGGATGTAAACTGGCACCCATATAGGATGCTGGCACTGCAGGCCGGGGCTTTAACCCACTGTTCATACCCTTGGCACCTAACATACAATTTGTAAACATTCCACTTTTAAACAAGGCAATGATAAAACATTAAGGTCAATTTAGTTAATTTGAAAAAAATCAATAGTATCTAAAACTCTTGCTATGGTTCGAATAGAACATGGCTCAACTCACGCAGGTTGTCAAATTCCAAGATCACAGGTAGATTTTGGAAAAGTGGAAATTTAATCCAATTATGGCATCTATAAGTAGTACTAGTAGGAGTTCCTTAGGTTATGGTAGGCATGCCCTTGGAAGATAGTTCTCAAGACAGGGTTGGTTATAAAAGCTAAGATGGCTGTGGCTGTGGTGTTGAAGGTAAAGCCACCATCTGCAGTGATGGCATTCCACATGGCTCTGGTTTGAGTCGCAGCTGCTCCACTTCCAACCCAGCTCTCTGCTATGGCCTGGGAAAGCAGTGGAAGATGACACAAGTCCTTGTGCCCCTGTACCCATGTGGGAGACCTGGAAGAAGCTCCTGCTTCAGATTGGTACAGCTCCAGCCGTTGTGATCTGGGGACAGACTGAAGACCTCTCTCTTTCTCTCAGCCTCTCTGTAACTCTTTCAAATAAAATAAATCTTAAAAAAAAAAAAAGATGAACCTAGTCACTCTGTTTCTAGTTTCCCATATGATCCTTCCTCCACATCCATCTCCCACTGCCCTCCTCTGGCCTCACCAGATGGAAAAACCACTGAGACTCATTCAATCTTGGACTATGAACCTCTGAATCTATAAAGTAAAATAAACCTCCTTCCTTCATCAAAAGCTTTTCATAGGTATTTGAATATAGTGATGAAAAACTTATAGCCACCAGAAAAACAAAAAACGACTGCAGAAATTACAAGAAGTTATAAAGTATGCTGGATAATGAAACTAACAGCTATTTTTAGATCTTATTATAGGAAGGATCTGTTCTGCATCTTCTCAAAGTGATAACCTTTCTGACTATATGACACTCTTATATTCTTTTAGCATTTTATACTGACAGAGTTAAGTGAAGACTACGAAGAATGTTCAACATTCTTCAGTTTTTAAAATAACCTTAGTCTCTACTATGCCAATGAAGTATTTTCAAATACTCAGATATTTGTTCAATTATATAACCACTGCATTAGCATTGTTTTATTTTTTAGAATATTTGATTTTTCCAGTTTGGGTTCAAAAATCCTTCTGAACATATCAACTCTTCCATTAACTTGCTTAATATCAATCACCTTTACTCATTTTGCTAATATCTCTATTGGGGGTTCTGTTTATCATTGAATGCGCATTCTCCATTCTGAAGGTGATCTATATTAGCTGTGAAAAAAAGAAAAATCGCATTCTAGCCAAACTGTGGTAAAATTTTGATGTCAAATATTAGAAGGTTATTGAATGCGAAGATTTTCTTAAGTTAATAAGATGAAAGCACAGTGGTTTTTTATTAAATGGCATTATCAAGTAATAAAGTATCCATTTAAGCAGGATATCTATATAACAAAAGTTTTTATCTTAAGTTGCCAAGATTTATTTTAAGCATTTAAAATAAATATGTCCAAAGCTTTTATATAACTACCCAATTCCTAAACAACCCTGGACATAAAATCTTTTCTTTGATGATTTAGGATCATTTATTAAATATTAACCATTTGTGTGATGATATCTTTCTTCTAATCCTTTTAGTGTTCTCACTCTTTCCTCTATGTCATGCTATTTGACTTTCTTCGGTAGCTTTTATAACCTTTCAAATGCTACTTCTAATTTTTTATGGGCTGAGGAACTACACAAATCCTTTAAAGAAGTGTGTTAAAAGAGTCAGTCAGGATCTAAATACAGGTTAAATTTAGAAAGTTGTACAATATAGTAACTTTGATATTTCTTGTAAACTAAAGTCTTCTGTAGGGGGTTCAGTAGTCGAAGTCTGATACTGGCCTAAGGTGAGTTCTTTATTAGTTCTAGAATCTAAAAATATTTTATCTTCTCAGATCTATACTCAAAATGGCTTGCTCTTCCCTTTAAACAGTGTTGGGGAACCTTCATCTCCATAAGACCTTCTACGTTAGTTTCCCAAAGAAACCAGCTTATATCAACTGCTGAAAATCAAGTAGTCTCTAGGAATGATCTTGATAAAATATACACGTATTTTTAGCACTATCTTCACTCCCACTTTGAATGCTAAGGATCAGTGTGTGACCACCTTAACAAAAGAGCATACAGTTAAGTTTGCATCAAAAACCAGCTCCCGGGAGTGCAGTGAAGGATGGCCCAAGTCCTTGGGCCCTGCACCTACATGAGAGACCAGGAGAAGCACCTGGTTCCTGGCTTCGGATCAGTGTGCTGTGCCAGCCACAGCGTGCCGGCCGCAGCAGCCATTTGAGGGTGAATCAATGGTAAAGGAAGACCTTTCTGTCTCTCTCACTGTTCACTCTGCCTGTCAAAAAAACAAACAAACAAACAAAAAAACAAAAACAAAAAACAAGCTCCACTATAATGAACAAAGGAATGATCAGGTGAATGATATTTCAAAACCAGAGAAATAGCTTAAAGGTACAGACATAGGAAAAGTTTCAGGAGGGAAAACAGGGAGGTTAGGTTAGTTTCCATGACTGTGCAGCCTGTTCCTCCTTCCTGGAATGTTAACATTTTGTTACCTAGTCAGCCTGGATTCATCCTTCTCCTAGCTGGTTCACTCCCCAATTGGCTACAATGCTGGAGCTGTGCCGACCCAAAGCCAGCAGCCAGGAGCTTCTTCCAGGTCTCCCACGTGGGTGCAGGGGCCCAAGGACTTGGACCATCTTCTACTGCTTTCCCAAGCCATAGCAGAGAGCTGGATGGGAAGTGGAATAGCCAGGACTCGAACTGGCGCCCAAATGGGATGTGGCTTTACCCGCTGTGCCATAGCACCAGCCCATGGATGTTTTCTGAATGAATGGAGTTCAAACACACTTCATACCTAGCATTTTACAATTATGCTCATTAAGAGATATTGAGGGGCTGGTGCTGTGGTGTAGTGGGTAAAGCCACTGCCTGCAGTGGTGGCATTCCATACGGGCGCCAGTTCGAGTCCCAGTTGCTCCACTTCCCATCCAGCTCTCTGCTATGGCCTGGGAAAGCAGAAGATAGCCCAAATCCTTTGGCCCTTGCACCTGAGTGGGAGATCTTAAATATGCTCCTGGTTCCTGGCTTTGGATCAGTGCAGCTCCAGGCATTGCAGCCATTTGGGGAGTGAACCAGTGGATGGAAGAACTCTCTATTAAACGAATCTTAAAAGAGAGAGGGGCTAGTGCTGTGGTGTAGCAGATAAAGCCACCGCCTGCAGTGCCAGCATCCCATGGGCATGGGTTTGAGTCCTGGCTGCTCCACTTCTGATCCAGCTCCCTGCTAATGTGCCTGGGAAAGCACCAGAGGATGGCCCAAGTCCTTGGGCCCCTGCACCCACATGGGAGACCCAGAGAAGGCTCCTGACTCCTGGCTTCAGACTGGCCTAGCTCTGGCCGTTGTGGCCATTTCAGGAGTGAACTAGCAGATAGAAGATCTGATATCTCTCTCCTCCCCTCCCACCTGTTTAATTCTACCTTTCAAATAAATAACTTATAAAAAGACAGAGATTGAGAATTTCCATTATGAAAACAAAACCATGAAGAATCATTTAGTGACCTACGAAAAAAGGGGGGGAGGGAAAAAAAGTAGACAAGATACCAACTAAATTTATTATCTAATATTATTTGAAATTAGCTTCTTCCTAATTTGAAGAAGGCAAAGTGTACCAACAATGAAGGACAGTAATTGAGTAAGAGGAGTCCAGGTGTCTAAGTTTCTACTTCCTGGACTACAATAAAATTCTTGGCAATGCTCTGGAAAAACCCTGCCAAATCATTTTCTGAGTCACTAGGCTTTAAGGATATAACCTAACCATTCCTTCACCATCACTTCAAAAAGGGTATTCATAAAATTCATATCTGGGAAAGCCAAATCACCAGTTCTAGGACATAATGATACACAGGCAAGTTAAATATGGCAGAATTTTGTAAAATAGTTCCAGCATGGTAAATCAGTTAAGCTGCCAAGCTCATGAACTCACCGACAGCACACCTCACATGGGTCCACCCAGAGAGTGAGCTCCTTTGGCAAGCCCAGGTCACTGTACAAGATGCAGCTGTTTTCACAGGCTTTCAGGACATCAGGATCAACTCTCTGAAACTTATTGACACGAATGCATCTACAACAAAGTAAAGTTGCATTAATAGCTTTAACAAATCTTAACCAAAAATATTTACATATATTTATTGCCAAGGTGTATAATAAAGGTACCCTGATGGAGAACTCAGGAGCATATTTATGCTAAATAAGTAATAAATGTGAGCTACAGGCTAAATAAAATGCAGTGTAAGACTGCCTAGTCTCATGAAAAGATGATAGCATTTAAGTAAGCCCAGGGAAATAACTAGAACTGGCTCTTATTCAGTTTACATAGACCACTCAACCACATGCATATGTTAAATAAGCAAGGAGTATGAAAATTTCAAGAAATTACTTAGAACTTTGACGGTTAAGAGTTTCTGTAAGCTAAGTTCCTATAACAAAATGTCTTAAAAAAACCTCAATATTTTAAATGATAGTTGGAAATTCTTGTTTTGATTCATTTATTTTCTTAAGATATATTTATTTATTTGAAAAGCAAGAGTTATACAGAAAAAGGGAGAGATAAAGATCTTCCATCCACTGGCTCAATCCCCAAATGTCTACAATAGCCAGAGCTGGGCTGGTCTCAGGTCAGGAGCCAGGAGCTTCTTCCGGGTCTCTCAGGTGGGTGGCAGGGGCCCAAACACTTGAACCATCTTCCACTGCTTTCCCAGTCACATTAGCAGGGAACTGGATCAGAAATGGAGCAGATGGAACTCAGCACCCATATGAGATGCCAGCGCTGCAGGCTGCAGCTTTACCCACTATGCCATGGCACCAGTCCCCATTTATTTGTTTTTACCTCTCGTTAAGAGGGTATTTTTTGCCTCACCTGTAGCTGTTCTATAAACAGAATACAAAACCATTCATATCATATACTTATTATTAAAATATAATCCTAAAATGTTATTGTCTTATTTAATATGCATTACCATTTTCTTTTTTAAAGAAAAATACAAATAAGTAAAAAGAAATTCTAAACCCCTGCTGTATTTTTTTTTTGCCTAAGAAATACCCCACCTACCAATATAATGTTCAAGATCTACTACATTGAATGCAAAAATACATAATGAAATAAGCATTCTGATTAAGTAGGGAAATGGTAGATACAGTTTAAAGTATAAACTGTCGGGGCCTGGCGCTGTTTAACATCCTGGCCTGAAACGCCTGCATCTCATATGAGTGCTGGTTCTAGTCCCGGCTCTCCCTCTTCCAATCCAGCTCTCTGCTATGGCCTGGGAAAGCAGTAGATATGGCCCAAGTCCTTGGGCCCCTGAACCCATGTGGGAGACCCAGAATGAAGCTCCTGGTTCCTGGCTCTGGATCCACACAGCTTGGGCCTTTGCGGCCAATTGGGGAGTTAACTAGCGGATGAAAGATACCCCCGCCTCCTTTCTCTGCCTCTCCTCTCTCTGTGTAGCTCATTCAAGTAAATAAATAAATCTTTAAAAAAATAATAAAATAAAATAAAGTATGAACTGTCTACAATCAACTATTAATCAAGAAAACTGAGTTTAGTACTAGTCCTAGTACTCATTTATTGGATGAGCTTAGATATAATTTTTTTCTCCAGACCAGAGCTGTAAAATATGGAAATACAAGTTAACTGACAGACAGTAATTACACCATAAAAACAGTATCAAGAGAAATGTTCTATTTAATGTTTAAAAAGTTAAATTATTTTATTAGTTGGCTTCAGTTTTCATGAAAAAATTCTCATTAGGTAACAGCTAATAATAAATGTTGCTGTAACCTTTCTGAAAGTTTACTGTACCACAATTTCCTAAACAGCTTCCTTAACTTTTAATTGTCACAATTATCCTATGAATTAGACCCTATTTTCTCCACTGTAAGGAAAAAAGGAGGCAGAAAGCATGAGTAACTTTCCCAACATCACATAGCTAATAAGTGATGTATCCAGTGATCAAATCCAGGCTATCAGACTCCAAAGTTGATGTTATTTAACAATATCCTATGCTGTCTGTCCATATCTGTCATAACATCACCATTAATGATATTACAAATTCAGAGTGAAAAAGACGGGGGCCGGCACTGTGGTGCAGCTGGTAAAGCTGCCGCTTGCGGTCCCATATGGATGCTGGTTCAAGTTCCAGCTGTTCCACTTCTGATCCAGCTCTCTGCTATGGCCTGCGAAAGCAGTGGAAGACAGCCCAAGTCCTTGGGCCCCTGCACCCACGTGGGAGGCCTGGAGAAAGCTCCTGGCTACTGGCTTTGGATCAGTGCAGCTCCAGCCGTTGCGGCCAACTAGGGAGTAAACCAGTGGATGGAAGACCTCTCTCTCTTTCCTTTCTCTGTGTAACTCTTTCAAATAAATAAATCTCTTTAAAAAAAAAAAAAAAAAAAATCGCTTTATAGTATGTAAGATGCTTCTTAATCATTTTTATAAGATGGAGCTACACCTACATATTCTAATGTGTGGAGTAATTCCTAAGTCCCATGTGCCCTAAGATCAAAAGTAGTTAAAGATAAGGAGATATATCTTGGGTATATTTTTATGCATCTTAAAATTATATGTAAATATGGATACTTTACAAACCCTGCTTCAACCAACTGATGTACCTTACATATTTTTATGCATTTTTTTTTACTTACAGTGATTACTTATCTATTAATTACTCTTCAAAAATAAGTTTTTAAAGGTTGCATAAAGACAGTCTATGATTTACTTAATGTTTAGTTCTTTCAAATTTTGTAATTACAAAATGTAAGAAACATCCATATTCATATATATTTGTCTGCATTTCTGATTACGTTTTCAGAATAGATTCAACTTACTGTTGTTTAAAGGCATAAAGTTTTTTTTTGGTTAAGATTCATTTACGGCCGGCGCCGCAGCTCACTTGGCTAATCCTCCGCCTGCAGTGCTGGCATCACGGGTTCTAGTCCCAATTGGGGCACCGGATTCTGTCCTGGTTGCTCCTCTTCCAGTCCAGCTCTCTGCTGTGGCCTGGGAGGACAGTGGAGGATGGCCCAAGTGCTTGGGCCCTGTACCCGCATGGGAGACCGGGAGGAAGCTCCTGGCTCCTGGAGACAGAGAACTTGCATCCACTGGTTTACTCCCCAAATGGCCTCAACAGCCAGGTAATGGCTCAGGTGGAAACCAGCAACCAGGAACTCCATTCTGGTCTCCCAAATGGGTGGCAAAGGGCCCAAGAAATGGACCATCTTCTGCTGCCTTCCTAAGTACATTTGTAGAAACTGTTTCAAAAGTAGAGCAGCCAAGGGGCCGGTGCTGTGGCATAGTAGGTAAAGCTAGTGCCTGCAGTGCCAACATCCCCTATGGGTGCCAGTTCGAGTCCCAACTGCTTCACTTCCAATCCCACTCTCTGCTATGGCCTGGGAAAGTAGTAGAAGATGGCCCAAGTCTTTAGGCCCCTTCACCCCCGTGGGAGACCCAGAAGAAGCTCCTGGCTCCTGGCACTGGATCAGCATGGCTCCGGCCGTTGTGGCCAATTGCGGAGTGAACCAGCGGATGGAAGACCCTTCTCTTTCTCTGCCTCTCCTTCTCTCTCTCTGTAATTCTGACTTTGAAGAAAATAAATCTTTAAAAAAAGAAAGTGGAGCAGCTGAAACACAAATGTGCACTGTGATATGAGATGACAGCCTTCCAAACCATAGCTTAATCTGCTGAGTCAAAACATTTTACGTCAGGTGTAAATATTTTTATAGAGCTTGATAGTATTGCAAAATGGCCCTCCACAAGCATCTTATTTTTATACTTTGCCAATGAAGTAATTTTAATATATAAATATTTTGAAAGAAAAGAAAGTTCCAACTATTTGATGGATTGAAGACTCTCTAAGTCTGATTCTATATTCTCACTTTCATAATAGTTAACAACCTACTATCATATCTAATAGTTTTCTACTTCAAACACAGCTTCAACAATGACTCAATAATGATACTTCTGATCACATGCCAATTGAATCCTGTATAATTTTTTTTTCTAGGCTTTAGAATTAATGGACGTGAAACCTTACACTGTCTGATCTTTAAGTATGTACTTGACAGTGCCTTCTACAGTAATAGTATGGTGGTACTTTCACCATACTATTTTCATACTTCCAAAAGCCTTCATCCAATTTCAATTAGATCAGTATAAAAAGCCTCAACAGTTCTAACTCACAAAAGCTGGTCACTCTATCACAAATGAAGATATGTAGAGAAAAATTAGGAGAATGAAGTAAGAAGATGAAAAGATACTAATTACCTTGATTCTTTGTCAAAATAAAACAAGCTCACCTGGCTTTTAGCAAAGAAGACAAAACTCATATTTTTACCTCCCTTCCAGGCTTCTTCAAAAGTCTTAACATTTACAAAAGCCCAGTGACTGAAAGGAAGGAAGTCCTTTTTATAGCAAAGCAGAGAAATGGTGATGTGTGGAGGAAATTTTAGGGACAGCAGCATACACAAATGAAAGAGAATTTCTGTAGTTGTTTGGATCACAACTATTCCACAACTATTCTTTATTTCAATCTACAAATGAGGCAAAGTTTGACAGCTCAGTTTAGAACATTCTCAACCCAAGTTCCTGAGTGGTCACATAAACACTAGGAAGTGAGCATGCCAGGACATGTTTTGCAGGAGCATGCTCTTTATTTCAATTTGGAAATGTGACTTATAAACCACAGCACAAAAGACAGCTGCAAGTGAGAATTCTCTTCTTCCTAAGTGCCAAGGCAGCAAAAATTTCATGTGAGTCTGGAGTCATTTATACCTCAGTCTAAATCTCAGCTAGTATTTGCCAGTTGTGGATCACAAGTGAATTATCTTCACCTGCAAAGTAACAGTGGCTTCTACCACATAGAATCATACGTAACATAAATTAGATTACTCCAACAAATGTTAAGAATATATTAGGTGTCTAATAGTCTCAGTTCTTTTCTGTCCAGTTTTTCTTCAAAAACTTTGTATAATGTAATTTAGTTTTAGATACAATATGACTCATTTTCCTTAACTCTTACCATACCAATTTACAAGTGATCAAGTGTCCTTTAGAACTGTGAAAACCCCAAGCACCTATCATGCACAGATAGATACATTCAGTAAGGAGTCAAGACAATAACCCTAACAGACTAACCTCTTAAAGAGATGATAGCACTGGATTTCCCCAGACAGGCAGTGGGAACCCACCAACAAATAGGTGTATTTTAAAATACCTAGATACCCCCACAGAGTTCTATATTTTGCAGATACAACTACAATAGGCATAAGCTGGACGTCCTCTAGTCCTGCATTCACTACAGAAATTGATCAGCTGCTTCACTTAGCCTAATTTAATTCTTAATCTAATCCTTTACCTGTAGGCCTGTCCTTTTGATGGTTTCTCTGGATACCAGTGATTTTTGTACTTTTCTTGAAGTATCAGAGTCAGTTTTTCAGCAAACCTCTCAACTGCCTCTTTTTTCAACTTGTCATGTTTTCGAACCAGCCTTGTGAAAAAGAAGACAACAGCAGCAATTTCATTCTTCATTTTTTCCTGCAAAGATAAAACATGCTTTCTCAAAAAACCAAAATATAAAAACTAGAAGATAAAGTTTTCTAAGATATTGCTCCTAATGTTTCCCTTTCAATTTTACCTTGTGCTTCACTGGCTCAACTCTATAATTAGGGAACAGTCACTAATTTGTAAAAACGTCTTATTATAAAATAAGACTTAAGAATAACACCACTTAGCTTTGTGAAGAAGTTCAATAAAAAGAAAATCCCAGATTGCTCCTATGGGCTAAAATTTAGTGATATTACACAGAACACTGTTAATACTACATAGTTTCTAGTAAATACATCAATATTCATCAAAAAAGCTTAAGATTCTTTGACATGATTTGAACTTTAAAACTGAATAAAGTCCACTTTAAGTATAGGATTGTTCAGACATTTTTGGTAGTCTGTTAGCTCCTGGAAAGGTTAAACAGAGTTAACCATATGTTTCCAAATTCTACTTCCAGCTATATACCCTGGAGAAATGAAAACATTATGTCCACAAAAACTGTAAGTGGCCAGGAGATTCATAATAGCAAAAAACCTGAAGAGCACAACCTGAATATCCACCAACTGATGAATGGGCAAATAAAGTGTGTTATATAAATATAATGGAATATTATTTGGCAATTAAAAGGAATAAAGCACTCATACATGCTGCAACATGGGTGAACCTAAAATACATTATGTTAAGGGAAAGAAGGCAGTGACAAAACATCATTCATAAGCAATGTACAGTAAACCTGTATACACAAAAAGTAAAATGTAGTGACCTAGAGGTAGGAGGATTGTAGGTAAACAAAGGATGATGCTAATTAAGTACAAGGTTACTTTTTGAGGTAATGAAAATATTCTAAAATTGACTATGGTGATGGCTGTACAATTCTGTGAATATACTAAAACTATCTCAATGAAGCTGTTATACATAAAAAATTCAGTATTGGAGTTTCTGTAAGTACTCTTTCAGGGATAGGGATAAATTTACCTAAAGGTCAAAAAGGAATTAGTGACTCTATCAAAACATATTTAAGAGAATAGAAATCCAGTTACCCATAGAAAAACTAAAAGAAACTTAAAATTTAGCTACATTTTGTAACTGCCTAAAACAAAACATAACAAAACAAAAAAAGACCTTTTTTAAAACAGAGGATCTCACTTATCATTGATTAATTTGTAAAGGCAAAAAAATGTTCTCCAGGGATTGTTTCAATATATATCTTTAGTCAACGAGCTCATTCATTTGACTGCTGTAAGTATCCTGGAGTTATTCAGATGCTGCATTTACTAAGCAACATCACCTTTTTTGGACCCAGTTATTAAATCTATACAGCTTTTGCTATGTTAAGTATAAAAACTGACTAACCTAGCAATCAACAGTTTGTGTTCCCACACATTCAAAAAACAAAGCTGTTAGCTTTCCTTTTTTTCACCCCTCAAACTGCTCTTTAACTTTCTCTTCACGTGATTACTCCGTGTTTGAACAAAGGACTTCAGTGTGAAATAAATTCTATATAGTTATCTGAGAGCTGTGCTGGCAGCCACAGTCAACCTGATCCTGGATGGGGAGACACCCAAACCTTCCTCCTGGAACCCTAGAATGCCAAATACTCCATCTATGACTAGCTACCAGTTACTGCACACAGGTTCGCACACACAGCTCCAACCCACTACATCTGCTGGACAACCTCTTCCCTAAAAATGTGAGCCATTTCTACTTTATAAAGCTGCATTTATACTCTACCACGTTATGATGGAGGTTGGGAACCACTGCAATTTAATACATGGTTTGGGAAGAAAGTTGCTGAGAGAACTACATTAGCCTCCACCCTATTAAAAAGAAAAAATAGAAAGAAAAAAAAAACACTAGGAACCATATTAAAGAAATATACTGAATCCCATACTAGATCATTCTCTACTATGTGCTACATATAGGAGTTTTGGGTTTTCCTTTTGTTTGCTCAGTTTCATATCAAAATATAAAAAAGAAAGAAAGGAAAGAACCACTTAGTGGTTGCTTTTAGTTGTAACACAAGATGAGTCATACGGACTTTATTTATTTATTTTTTCTGTTTGCAAGAATGATGACTGGGAAAGCTGAAAAATAAACCCAGCCCCACCAGTATTCCAGGATATCAAAAAATAAAAGAGGAAGCGTTAAAAAGCCAGAGGTCAACCTGAAGCAAGCGGAGCCAAGATGACATTAGACATCTTGATTTAGAGTAAGTGGCCGCAATCCCTCCACCCACACTCAGAGCAAAAAGCTCCCATTTTAAATATTGTACGATGACGTCATCCTGGGACGTCGTCACCGCGGCGGCGGCGGCTCCTCAAGTTCTACTTTGTTCCACAAGCTCCCCTGCGTGGAGAAAACCCAAAGGAAAACCAAGCCGGGCTTTCCAGGATTGTATAACTTTGTACTTTTCCCTCCCTCATACGGACAAGACAATGGCAACCGCTTCCAGAGCCGAGTGCTTCTCATGCTGGACGTCCCCAAGGCTGAGGGAGCGGGGGGCATGGCCCGCGCCGGTGAGGAGCCCTTGACCAGCCTCAGCGCTACAAGGCGGGCTCCAGAATTTTCCAAGGGGCCGGGAGTCTGACTTTGTGAAGCCTTCAAAAGCTGCTGCTAAGCCCTCCCGCTGGGGTCTGAAGAGAGCGAGGTGAGCAGGCATCACACATCTCCACCCACTCCTGAGGAAAGAAGGGCCTGCGAGCTGCGCCCAACTTCTGCAATCGCGGTTCCCCCCCCCCAAGTTCAGGGGCGAGGGGCCACGGGGAGTCCAGTTCCCTGCCTCCTCCCCACACAACAACCCCGGCGGGCCCCGGCCGGGTTCGACGATCGGGGCTCCCCTGAGGCGCGACCCTCCAGAAAGCAAGCGGGGTCCAGGGTTCCGGAAAACACAGCAACGCCAAGGGGTCTGGCGGAAAGGGAAAAGGCGCAGGTCTGTCGCCCACCCTGAGGCGGAAGGGAACGCGCGGTGGAAACGTGGCAGGAGCCTCGGGGCGGCGTCTGCCCCTCGGCGGCCCGCCGCGGGTCCCGCCGCCATCCTCGCGGGCGACCTCCTCAGCCTCGGCTTGGCGCCGGGCCGGAGCCCCGGGACCCCGGTTCGATCCCGCCCCGCTCCCCTTTCCTCGGCGAGCCTCGACGTGGCCTCTGGCACGCCCGGACCACCCTCCCCCGCGATGCCCTCAGCCCCGCCATGTCCTCCGACCCCCAATCCCGTCTCCTCACCGCCGCCGCCGCTGCCGCCGCTCTGGGCTCGCAGATGCGTCTGCTTGGACCGTGTCCGGCCAAGGAACCGAGGGAGCCGCCTCAGATGGCCCGCGCTCGGCGACAGGGAGCTCAGAGAGCCTCGTCCGGCGCGTGCAGCTCCCGCGTCGTCGGGCGGCCAGGCGCGCGCTGAGAGAACTGGCTGGCGGGCCGGCGGGAGAGCGCGCGCACGAGCGAGCGCGGTCCTGAGGCGGCGCGCGGGGGGCTCGCGGCCCGGAAGAGGGGAGGGGCGATGACCCGGGAAAGGGTTGGCGCCGCGTGGGACCGGCTGGCGCGCCCCGCGGGAGGGGTGGGGGAGGAGCAAGGGGCGGGGCCTAGCCGCGAGCCCGCCCGGGGCCGCGGGCCGCGCGCGAGGTACCTTCGGCGGGGACACGCGCCGCGCGCAGACCCTCGACTCGAGGTCCTCTGCGCGAGTGGTTTCCCTTTACGCCAGAGAGTGGCGCTGCGGGCCCCATGGCCCTCGCCCGGCTGCCCCACCTGCTGCAGCACCTTCCAGCACTTCAGGGGGTCGCGAGGGCCGTACCCCCTAGGTTGCCCCTGCTTCTGCTCCCGCCCTGTGGGCTCTCCTTGGCGCGCTGCGTCCCGAAACCTCTGGCCGGGAGGGCGAGTTCTAGACCTGGGCTCCAGACCTGGGCTTCGCAGCGAGGCACGGACCAGACAGGAAGGGGAAGGAGCCCTAGCCTTCGTGCTGTGGTAATTAGCGCCGCGTCCACCGTGCAGTCGCCCGCCTGTGTTCTAGGTAGTTTGTTTGGAACTCTTCGTTGCGCCCTTCCCTGGCTGCGGGCGCTCCCTCGGAGCCGGGACTGCCTCCCGTGGCGGGCTGTTTCCCGACCTGGCACTGGCTGCCAAGTCTTACCCAGAGGAGAGGCTCCGGGGATGGCAGCCCAGTGAATGAAGCCTTGAGTCCGGGCGTTCCATTTCTGAAACACTTCCACTCAAGGACTTCCCAGATGCAAAGCTTAATCCTTGAGCAAATACAAATATGGAACAGGACCATTAACTTCGTGGAGAAAAGAAGGAACAGCTTCCCAGCCTTTTATATTGAATTGGCACCATGGTATTAGTTTTGTGAAAGCACTTTAATGCATTAAACATCGGATTGGCACCTTGATCTTGAACTCCGGCTTCCAGAACCGTGTTCGTTGTTTAAGCCAGACTATTGTATTCAGTTAATTACAAAATATCGCTACTTTTTAATCGAACAAAGGCTCTAAAATGTGTTGTAAATTATTGAAAAGCTAATTATTCAAGTTGCATACTGGCCACATTCCTTACTGCCCATGTGACCTGAAAAGTTTTATGAATGTTCTACATTTTTATTACTGACGGTGCTATAGCTTCTTGTCAGTTCAAGACAGTTTTTGTTTTTAACAGTTATAAACATACAATCTCCAAACCAGTAAAATAAATATTTGTATAATTGAAAAAAAAAATACTAGGGATGGGGCTACTTGCTGGACAATTTAAAGAAAATACTGATATTTATGTCTTGGACTATTCTTGGAGATGAGAGGGTGTTTTCATTTTCAACGCATAATTATCTGGTTGAAGTTTCACTCTGCAGCTTTATAAATACTCGTCATTTCTCCAGAAATGTCTATACTTGGAATTAATATTTTGTGTAATATTTATAAATCAGTGACTCTCAGATCCAGTGTTTGAAGTGTCATGTTAAACACAGGCAAGAAATTGAAACCTAAATGTGAAAAATTTTGTTAGGTGGTCCTTGTGAAACACACTGTACATAAGAAAAAATATATCTTTACCACTTCTCATTGCTCTCTCATCCACTTTGTCTCACACACAGTAGCTGTGTTTATGCCTCTTTCCTTACTCTTCTTCAGGCATGACTGTGTGCTTCAGATCTTTTGTCCCAGCTCTTTTCTCCTAAACTGGAATCAGAAAATCCCAAAAGAATTGGTATAGCAAGGCAGTGCTTCTCTTCAGCGGCTGGGAGATGGGAGCTGCTATGGACTGATGTGTTCCCCCAAATTCATATGTTGAACACAAAATCACCAAAATGATGACATTTGGATATGAGACCTTTAGAAGGTGATGAATAGTGACGGCTGTGCCTCATGAATGAGATTACCCCCATTGTAAGAAGAGACAGAGAGAAATGATCACTCTTTCTGCTCTGTCAAGTGAGGATACAAGAAGACAGACAACAAATTTGGAAGCCTCACCAGCCATGGGATCTGCAGATACCTTGGTTTTGAACTTTGAGGCTCCAGAACTGTAAGGAATATTTCTGTTGTTTAAGCCGCCCAGTCTATAGTATTCTGTTACCAGTCCAGACAGGAACATTACTGATATAACTACATATTAACATGTATTTCTCTTTCAAGCTTTTAATGTCCACTAACATTGTGTATTAATGGGTAGAGTTTCCTTTCAGCATAAGTGTTGTTGTTCTTTTTTTTTAATAAACCACTCTGATAGGCCTGGGACTTTACACATCCCATGGTTATATCCCTAAGTCACAGAGAACATGACTCACACTCAACCAACAAAATCTGTAAATAGCTTTCAGGATCTTATTTCCACTAAATAACTGTAGAACTCTTTAGAATCTGTTATTCCTGTGAGCTTGAGTAGTTCAGTATTAAAAAAAAAAACTGTCTCAGATACCATCTTCTCAATCTACTTGTCAAGTTTGAATCTGACTACAAAACAATCACTTTTATAGTGGACAGAGAGGGTTCTTTAATGTTATGTAATGTCAGGGAAAAGAGCAGATGTTGGCAATTGGAAGTCCAGCGAGTGGGATCTCAGGGCTTGTGATGCCAGCATCTCATATGAGCACTGATTTGAGTCCTACTTGCCCCACTTCAGAACCAGCATCTGGGAAACCAGTGGAAAATGGCCCAAATACTTGGGCACCTGCCACTCATGTAGGAGACTCAGATGGAGTTCTAGGCTCCTGACTTCAGCCTAGCCCAGCTCCAGCCATTGCTGGCCACTTGTGGAGTAAACTAGCAGATGGAAGACTCTCTCCCTCCCTCCCTCCCTCCCTCTCTTTCCTCCTCTACCCCCATCTGTCTGTAATACTGCCTTCCAAATAAATCTTTAAAAAATATATAAACCTAAAGAAAATTTGAAACCTTCATTATTTTTTCCATTAGATCATACAGCAAAGCTGACTTCCCAAAGTCAGAACACAAACTGTTTTGATGAATGAGGCAACGGAAATTGGGCATACCGCTCTCTTATTTATTTTGAGTTACATTAACTGTTGAAACTTTCATGCCCTGAGTGCATCCTGAACATGATCGAATTTTTCCAGAAGGAAATGTTTCTATCAAACTTCTCCAGTTCTTTATTGGCAACTTGCAAGGATTTGTGTGAATTAGGTTAGGATAATGTATAGGCCAAAATGCTTAAGTAGGCTATACACGTTGGGTTCAGGTGTAGCTTCATTTTAGGGACACCTAGTGTAGGGGCCAGCGCTATAGCATCTCATATGAGCACTGATTCTAGTCCTGGGTGCTCCACTTCTGATCCAGCTACTTGCTAATGTGCCTTGAAAAGCAGTGGGGGATGGCCCAAGTCCTTGGGCCCCTGCACCTGGGAAACCCAGAAGAAGCTCCTGGCTTTGTCCTGGCCCAGCCCCAGTTGTTGCAGCCATTTGGGGAGTGCACCAGCAGATGGAAAATCTCTCTCTCTCTCTCTCTCTCTCTCTCCATCTATCCTTCTCTCTCTAACTCTGCCTCTCAAATAAATAAATGATTTTTTTTAAAGAAAAGTCCCTGGTATAAAATTTACTACTTGGCAGGAGAGGTGCCATTGTTGCTGGGTTCCTTTGGCAGTACTTCTGTTCTCCAAACCAGCAGAGAAACTGACTTATAGTAGTGAATAAGACATAGGATCCTATGTTTATTTAGTATACAAAATTAATAACATAGGTATATTCAGTTAGCAAAAGATACAGAAATAATTGCTTTTTATAGAAATAACTGCTTGAAGTATAACTATTAATCAGGGTCCTTCAGAAGAACTCTCTCTCTCTATCTACTTCTTGCTCTCTCTCCTTCTGTCTCCAGTTGACCTTGCTTTTTTTTAAGATTTATTTATTTTGGAAGTCAGAGTTACAGAGAGAGAAAGATCTTCCTGTCCACTGATTCACTCCCCAAATGACTGCAACAGCTAGTGATGGGCCAGGCTGAAGCCAGGAGCCAGGAGCTTCTTCTCGGTCTCCCATGTAGGTACAAAAGTGTAAGCCCTTGCGTCATCTTCTGCTGCTTTCCCAGGCAAGGAGCTGGATTGGAAGTAGAGCAGCCACTATATGAACTGGCACCCATACGGGATGCCAGGCACCACAGGTGGCAGCTTTACCTGGTATGCCATAATTCTGCCCTTCCGGTTGATCTTAAGCAATTGGCTCATGCAGTTGTGGGAACTTGAAAGTTTGAAACTTGTGGTGCTAGTAGGCTGGATATTCAGGCAAGAGTTCATGTAACCTTGAACTAAAAATCTAGGCAGGATTTTTTCTTCTCCAGGAGACCTCAATTCTTACTCTTAAGGCCTTCAACTGTTGGAAACTCAACCACATTATTAAGAGTAATTTCTGTTACTTAAGGTCAACTGGGTATAAATATTAATGTCGTCCATAAAATACCCTTCACATAAATACCTAGACCAGTATTTGACCAAACAGCTGGGCAACAACTTTCATTCAATTGTGTTTCCTTAAAGGTATGCTGATAAGTAAGTTTAAAATCATAAATTCTTTGGTGAAAAACATAAAGGATGCTTTTGCTAAGAAATAAAAAATTTATTTTTCTTTGCTCTTTTCAGTCAATTTTATGGTAGTGGGAATGTGAGAGGAATAATTGAATGTTTGTTTTGAGGAGCCCTTTTCTGCAGAACTGTGTCAACTATTTGGGCTAAAGCACTGGGCACGGTGCATCTGTTAGGATGAATAAGGGTCTAGCAAGTAAAGTGCTGCCTGTGACACGGGCATCCCATATGGTTACTGGTTTGTGTCCCAGCTGCTCCACTTCTGATCCAGCTTCCTGCTAATGTTCCTGGAAAAGCAGCAGAAGATGGCCTAAGTCCTTGGACCCCTTCCATCCTTGTGAGAGACCCAGAAGAAGCTCCTGGCCCCACA